CCCCAAAACCCCAAAACCCCAAAACCCCAAAACCCCATGACTTCATAATACGTAGACTTGTAACTCTCATTATTTAAAATATTTAAAATACTATATTCAGGCTTAAAAAATTTTCCCTATCGCAAAAGTAACTAGCGCTGTCATATCGTCCTCTTTACCACCCTAAAACAGATTAAATTCTTATGATAAACTCACCTCCCAAGTGGCATTATAAGTCTTTTTGTACTTTCTCTGATAAGGAGTTTTCTTTTTCTTGTCCTTGACTTTATCTAATGCTTCATATACTAAAATTTCAGCCAATTTCTATAAGGTTAAATGACATGACATTTAATTACCTCAGCCTGCTCTATTTTATAAAGCTTTTTATGCTTCATTTTAAAGTTACGCACTATTTGAAGGATTTCATGAGAGAATAGGTTATCGAAAATACCATCTGTCGCACTCACGATTATGTCTCCTTCTTATAATTCAAAGGAATATTCCTCTGCATCATCTGGTTTGTCTTAGCACATAGTATTATCTCTTCTCCTCAAAATTGCCTTTAACTTCTTGAGTTCTTCTATTCTGCCTCTTTGTCTCAGTAATTCTAGTTCATTTGGTCCAGGAAGAATTGATATTTGATATGGAATGTTAAAAGAATGCTACTATTCTTTTGAACGAGCTGCAGTGTATGCCTCTCCATTTCTAAATCTAATAAGAACAAAACCGCTATCTCCTAAGTTAGCTATGTTCAGTTCTTTTTAATTTCTAATAGCTACCATTGCCGTTGAACTACCAACAGCTGTTACTTTAGAAAAAGCTTGTCCTAGGATAAATATAGGATGTAATATTATACCCTCCTTATCAAATTTCAAGCCATTTGCAATATTGTTTTTTATCGACTTCTATTAGGGTGAATCATCATCGCGAATCTCCTCATCAGAAACTGAAGACTCTCCAGCATCAAGATTCTCCATGCTCAAATAGCTTCCACTCTTCCTCATCTTTTTCATTATTTATTTACTTTGCTCTGATTCTTTATTTTGTTCTAGGTATTGCTCAATCTGAATTTTGCAATTATCCATAAGTTAGTTGGAAAACAAACTACTACTGAAGCCGTAATCATTCCAGCCACTTACGCCATCTGCAACACCAAAGCCTCGATCAGTGACAAAATATGCATCTTCGCACTGCTCAGGTATCTTACCTATTTTGAATGCTCCAGTAATTATTGTAAGTTCTGTGCTGTGAAAATCATCTATTTAGTTGCTTGATTCCTTCATTGTTGCTGACAGATCTCCAGTTATTTCTGTATAAAATCCTTCATTCAAATCATATTGGCTTTATCTATTTCTCTCATCCACCTCGCTGATTGGCTTTAGACTATATCTATTATCATAGCTTAGCAAACTTTCCTGCTACTTTTTGTCAGGGTAAGCTACAAATGACTACTTCTCTTTAAGTTTCAGAGGTGTTAGCTCGTTGAAGTTCTCTTATAGGTCCATATCAAATAGATTGGCATGCTAAGTAAGAGACTAGAGTTCATCAAGAGCATTTTAATTTGCAAACTTCAAATAATCATTTGGTCCTCCCTATTCCTAGTATTAAGTCATATATTCCTGATACATTTTGTCGAGGTCCACTTGATAAGATGTATAATATCTTTCAAATGCACCAATGAAATCTTAATAAGGCTTATTGATGAAAGGATCAGACTTTTGAACTATCGGCTGGCTTTATTGCTAAATTATTTGATGATTTTATTGCTTAATTTGTTTAAGCTCTCTTTCATTTTCTAAAACATCATGCAAATTGTCAAACTGGACATATTTGACAGAATGATTTCTATCTTGAACATTAAACGATTCATGATAAGCTTAGTGATTTATTCTTTCATTGATTAATGTAACCTTATTTTGATTTACCTTTTTTTGTTTTTTCTGTCTTGTGGGATCGTAAAAATTGTTATAATTTCCACTCATATCTTATAACATAGGGTATCTAATTGATGTCAAGTATTTACTGCCGTTTTCCACTATAAACTTGAATTAATGGCCAATCATGATTCTGATTCGATCTGCTTTAAAGCACTTGAAGAACTTATCATAAAAGCATTAAATCTTATCACTCCATGGATTTTTAGTAAAGGAGCCAAAAACATAAACTGGCTACTGTCTATCAAAACGTTCCGCGGTTTCCAAGTATAGTGTTGCAATGAATATACCCTACTTATACAATCGCCTATAATACTTGCCTCTGATAAAATTTGCAATTTTCTTCTAAGATTCAATTGCAAGTTATCTTAGTCTTTTGCGGAGTATATTTTTTATGAAGCTATTGGCTTTTAGAACTTAAAGTATTTTTTTACTAGCGATGAGCTATTTTACTTCATCAATTATTTCCTTTTTATTTGATCTACTATTTCTACTACTTTATTGAAGGTAGCCACCCTGATTAGACTTTTGCTTAGCAATAACCTAGGCACTTTCGTTTGGGAAAGATGATTGATAAAATGTCAAAGTGGATTTCTAACTTGATGCATCATCATCTGGTCTGATTCTCAATTAATGATGAAAGGTTCTTTGATTCTTGATCTTTAGTTTGGTTGAATCTAAAGATATAGATTAATTTCAAGTGAAAATGTATCAAATTTTGACTTACTTTTGTTGCTTAATTGGTTTTGCCCTCCTGAACCGAAACTAAATTATCCCATGAGCATTGGACTTCTGATAGATTGATTTTATGAGGGCCTAGAAGTATTGTACACTTCGAAAACCTTCTATGAATTAGAAGGCAATCCCTTCGATGCAGATTGATTCATTTTGATATTAATAATTTACCTTTAATATTGATTTAATAAATTACATTAAATTAAATTAAGATAATTTCAAAAATCCTTATTAGTTCTTCTCATGCTCCCAGGTTTTACCTTTTCATTATTTTTAGCAACCATGTCTAGAATATAGTACATCAGCGCTAAAATCAGAATGAAGAAGATCGCTGCAAACATTCTGAATCTTTGGTTATCCTTTACTGGGTCTCTCATCATTTGCTCTTTCTACTATTTCCTCTCCTTCTCCATTTCCTCTTCCTCTTCTTTTTGTAGCAAGGCGTCTCTCTGCTACTTTTCAAGCTATATCTACTTTTTCCTCTCCCTTGATTCAGTAATCTACTTCTACTTCGATATCTACTCTTTGAATAGCTCTTCCTTAATCTAATTTTCAATTTCTCTAGCAGTCTTACCCTCTTTATTCCTGATTGACTCATCTGCTAATCCAATTCTTCTTATCTTCTCTATTAATGTCTGCCTTTCATTCGATGCACACTCATGCAGCAAAGTATTTCCTTGATTATTTTACAAATTAAGAATTCTTCTATATAGTTCAGTGTAAGTATAAACAACCTCCTAATCATCTTCCTCTTCTATCATTCTATTGTAATGCTTGATTATAGTCATTAGTGAGTTGTTTGAACCATTAATTGCGCAAATGTGCAAAGCACTATCACCGTTCTCATCTTATTTGCCAAGATTTACCTACTGCTCAAGAAGGTATTCAACAGTCTCAAGGTTATCCAGAGCACATGCTTGATGCATCGCAGATCCCTTTTCAGTAGTTAGGTTGAGATCTCCCCCATATTTTTGCAAAATCTTAATTGTCTCATACTAGTTGCATCTGGCTGCCCACATTATGAGGGTATTTTACTATACTACGAGGTTAGGATCAGCATGAGCTCTGAGCAATTCGAAGATCGAGTCTTGATTGCCGCTGGGACCTTAATTTATAGCAGTAACGAGTGGACTCCAACCCAGTTTGGAATCAATAAGATTTGGATTAGCACTCTTTGACTTGTAATCATCAGGCATTTTAAGTAGCAATTTCAACAAATCAATATCTTCCTCCATGATCACTAGATTGAGTAAAAGTGATCCTTGCTCTGTTAATGAATTAAGATCCACATCTTGTTCTTTGATGATGCCTAGAAGAGTGGCTTTCTTGTCAGATACATTATACTTCTTTTTTAGGAAGCGAAGATATTGTTCTACCATTAATTTATAGACTTAATTTATGCTTGTTCTTATAATACTAAATTTAATGACTCGTTTTCATAATATTGGATGAGCGGGGTTTTGGGGTTTTGGGGTTTTGGGG